TGCCTGCCCTACTCTGTACTGGGATGCACTCCACATAGCACTGAACACCACATGTGGGCACATGCTGCCATACTGTGTGCTGGGCTGTACCCCCACACTCTCAGACACGGAAATACCATATGTAGTCTTACTGTGTTCTGAGATGCATCCTATGTTCTTGAGCACTGTGAACAGGTGCGCTGCGCCACCCTCTCTATGCTGACATGCATCAATCCTGGCTAAAGGTGAGATCGGCCGCAGGCGAGGGACTTACGTGAGATAGCTTATTGGGAGACTCTTTGCAGCTTCCATCTTTCTGCAGCACCCTCTCCTTATAGGAGCTCAGGACTTTGGAAGGTGGGCCATGCCATTTGGTTTCTGTGACATAAAGAGAGTTGTTATTTCCCGCAATTTCCAGTGTTAGCAAGAGGGAGAAAAGCAGGGTTCTGATGGGTTGAAACAATCAAGCAGGACACCTTTACTACAACTTCCCAGGTCACCAGTGAGCAGAAGGAAGGGGCAGCGCTCCCACACAAGGGGACTGATTTCTCCAGGCCTCATAACCAGTTATCTGAAGCCATACTACGACTGTAGCTATGCCAGAATCACCCACAGGCACCTCACGTGGCTCACAGAGAAGCTCATCGACTATGGGTGTCAAAGTGAATGAGTGGGGACAGGGAAAAAGTACAGGTCAGGGGTGTCCTGGAGGCCGGGCCCCAGGGCTGCATTACCTGGAAGCCTGCCTCCCTCCATGAGGTCCTCATGCTCCCCAGTTCCATCACACTCCACAGAGCCTGGGCCTTGGTGCTCGAGCAGTAGGGGGGATGGGCACCTGCAAAAAAGAAGTCCAGCTATTCTTTTTTGACACCATCAGCCAGCAGAGGACACAGGGGCCAGGCACAAGATGGCTGAGGTTTCCTACGGAGGCCACCATCATTCTAGGGCTGACGCTGTCCTAGGAAACAGTTCCCTGACCAGTGGAAACAAAGTACCCTGGCTGATCTCTCCAGAGCAGAGGATGCAGTTTCACCAGGGCTGACACACAGCCAGCCTCAACAAACACTCCGCCAGCATCGAGCCGGCCACAGGCTGTCCAGCTCTGGTGGAGCACAATGATCATCGGCCTTACTTTTGACTGATGTGTGTGACACTGGTACATCAGAAAACTAATGCTTTTAAATAAAAGAAAACCTGACTCAGTCTGGATTCTACCCAGACGGCCTTTGCATTATGGAAACCAGAAAAAGGAAAACATCATCTTAGAAATGAAGGAAGTGAAGAAAATGTGTTTGTGTTGCAATGTTGTTCTCATGATCTGAATCCATGCTGTGGACCTGAAACCACACAAGGTTTTCCATTTATATAAAAACAAATCGAAGCCCTACTCTCCTCGTTTAACCATGGCTTCACTTAGAAAAGATATTTGCGGCCGGGTGGTGGTGGCGGACGCCTTTAATCCCAGCACTTGGGAGGCAGAGGCAGGCGGATTTCTGAGTTCGAGGCCAGCCTGGTCTACAGAGTGAGTTACAGGACAGCCAGGGCTACACAGAGAAACCCTGTCTCGGAAACCAAAAAAAAAAAAAAAAAAAAGATATTTGCTATTTAGCTGTGAAGAGCTCTGTCTGCCACATGAGGTGAAGAGCATGGTGTCCACTTCCAAGCCCAAACTGGACAGCAGAATGCCTGGACTTGAGTTTTGCTCTGCACCTGAAGACAGTACCATGACTGCCAGGGTCTTCCATGGACAGGAGTTTGCTGTCCACGCCAGCCTAAGGCCTCCATGGATGACTGTGTTCTGTTCACAAAAGGGCCCAGCTGCTGACTACCATAGATGGACTGGAGTCACCAAAGCACACATGTAGAACTTGAACGCTGTGCTACATGCCACCTCAAGAGTCCCACATAAGGTCAGCATGTGCTGCTCATACTGCTGACTCCTGGGATATGACACAAATCACAAGGCTCCAGCTAAGGAGGCCTCTCCGGCCATGGTGGCCACTATGTTGCTTCCTCCAACAGGAAGCAGAGAAGCTTCAATGATAACCTCATTTTCTGGCTCTCGGGAGCTGTCTCCTATTAGGTTTAGTCAGGAGAACTTCCTGAGAGTTCCTAACCACAAAGTCCCAGATCTTCCCTCTTGTGTTCAGAAGTCCATTCCGTATCACAAAGAAAACAGGGAAGACCAGGGAACACTGTCAGAGAAATGGAGTTTCCTAACAGGGCATGGAGGCACACACCTGCCATCCCAGCACTTGAGAGGCTGACACAGGAGGATTATCATGAGGTAAAGACCAGCATAGGCTACAGTGTGAGCCTCTGATTCAATCAGAAGACTCTGCACTTGCTCAAAGTGCTTGTTACAGGTGGCCTTCCATGAAACTCACACACAGGATGGCTTTTGAATGAGTCCTAGGTATAGACACAGCCCCCCTCCCACCCCCAGGGAGACAGAAAGGCAGGAAGGCTGGAGGGAGCCATACCCATCATAGCCCACTTGTGGTCGCCAGGGTCCACTCCCACCAGGTCCGGGATCACTGGATGATGACTGGTTGCTGGGAGAACTTCTGAGAGGGGAAGAAAAGCAGCAGGGTTATAGACATCGCCAGTCCCGGTTCAGCCCAACAGTCTGACTTGAGCTGTTTATAACAAATTCCCTGTGTCCATTTCACAACCAATCATGGAGATAATCTGAGCATCGGTGAAGTCCAAGATTTCTTGGCTTTATGACAGAAGTCCATCACAGGAAGGAGATATGGACTAGTGGACATTTGCTGTCTAAAGATGAAGGTGCAATGGTGGCTCCAGAGGACAGAAAACCAAGCATAGGGCAGGAGCATGCAGTCCCTGCACTTCTCTAGGCTCTACATAACTAAGGGAGGTGCTGGTGACTCCTGTCCCAGGTGCTCCCGTGTGTGCCTTCAGCACAGGGAGGCTGAGTTATAAGCCCTATGATCTTAAGCACAGAGGCCTGGAGCCCAGATGACTTGATTAATGTTAGAAGATTCCTGCTCCTCCTGGAAGCATAAACTACAAGAGGCAAGAAGGGCTACACACTTTGTTAATTCTGGTAAATATCTGTATAGGTTTACAGTGTGTAGTGTCTGGTTCTAAGCCCTTCAGTGATGCTGATCTGGGTGATCTTTAGGAGGTCCTGCCAGGGTCTGCATCCTCCTTATCTTCCAGACGAGGGAAGGACATCAGAGAGGCCCATAGGACAGCCCCACAGGCAAGGAAGACCCTGGCTCCTGGTGTGTACTGACAGGTCTACTAGAGCAGAGCCCTCAGGAAGGAATCAGCTGTCCAGAGTAAAGGCACACATCTCTAGGGTGTAGGTCACATGAATGTTTAGATAAGAAACATACATAGAATAAACTGTTTTGCTCTCAAACACAACCTATGCAAGTTAAGGTGCCCTGAGCTCTCATCACCTTCTGGTGTTACTGGATTTAACTTTAAAAGCTGTGTCCTGGGTGGACAGAGGGCGTCTTCTCTGACACCAGGACAAGGCTAGACTCTGAGTGCCACTGTGACTGAGGCTACCCCACTGCCCTGTTTGCTAAGACTCACAACAAGCTATTACAGAACCGGCCAGGCTGCTCAGTTAGTTTCTAAGGAGGGCTGTGGTGTTACCTGGTGCCATCAGGCAGCTTCCTGTCGAAGGACGTGCTCCGGGGGATGGCGGCCTGGGCCTGCTGCAGCAGTGGCTGGCACTGTAGTCGGTCAGGTGTGCCAGGCACAGGTGAGGCTCTGGAAACTGGCTGTAGGGCAGGGGTGGGCACACGGTGCCACGTGGTGTTCCTCCTGAAAGGCGTCTTGTACTCACAGGGTGTGCCCTCGCTGTCCAGCTTGTATTCCACCATGGGGATCCGGCAGAGCTCTGAGCAGCCCCTGCGGAGCCAGGAAGAGGCCATGGTGAGACTGTAGCTTCTCGGAGGACCCAGGCAAGGCCTGCTCATGGCTGAACAGGTTCCCCTGCAAGTACGCCTGTGCTTACTGGGGCCTAACTGGACAGCAGCACCTTACATCTGTCCAAAGAGGCATCCTTCCCTAGATGCTCGAAAGTGTTCAGCTGCTGTCTGGCCAACAGTCAGACTGAGATTCTAAAGGAGCCAATTATGGCTTTCTCCTGTTTGCCAACATACCACAGGCTGGCTGGGGTGGGAAGTGCTGCACGGTGGGAGGGACCGCAGCCCTTTGGATGCCATGGGTTATTGTTAGTTGTTTTCAAAGCCCTTCTGTATTCCTCCAAGTTCTGCCTACTGTCATGAGATATCAAAGCCCAGAGATGCTGCAAACCTGCTCAGTATTACATGTCAGGGTCATGGCCAGACCCAAGTGCTACAAATGTTGTCCACAGAGCTAGACATGGACACAAGACATTGTTCACCAGGGTCCAGGCATCAGTGTCAATCACTCAACTGGCCATGCTGGCTCAGCAGTCAGCTTCTGAAGGGAGTGCCCTATAGATACTCAATGTGAAAAAATTGTCTCCTAACCAGCCTTTGAAAGAGTTGATCCAAGAACATACACCCATTAGCAGATGTTAGAGTAAAGCTTGCCAGTCCCTTTCAAAAGCATTGCAGAAGAACAGCAGGAGCTTAGCATCACCTAGAACATATAGAGGGAAAACCACCATGCCCTGTACAGCCCATAGAGGCTCAGTGAAGCGATGTTGGTATAACCCACTGACAGAGTGAATGCAGAGGCTGAAGGCTCGCTTCGTGTACGCTAGCTTACATCTCTCTGGATTTTCTGAGTTTGACAGTCAATATTTAAGTTCAGATTTGCCCTGGATTGTGATGTTTTATTCTGAATGGAATCTGAGGAAACATTTACCAAAGACTTTAGTTTGTGAGTATTTTGCTATGTGTCTAGATTCAACACCTGCTGGGACTGCAGATTGGTTCACATGGCCAGAGACCTAACTGGAAATCACAAAATAGAACATTACAGTAGGAAGTACTCAGGAGGGCCACACCTGTGTCTGCTGTCACTTCCCGTGAACAGTCACCTGGTGCAGGGGAGCCCAGGCTGTGTGTCTCTATGGCTCTACCCATCTTTCTGAGGCCTGTGCTTGTAAAGGGACGACAGATGGTTGAGAATAGGGTGGTCTACTTAATTCACGCTCGTGGACTCTAGCTGTCAGCAGTACAATTTGACTTGAATCTTGGAAGAAAGAACTTACATAAATTCATACACCTTGTATTTGAGGGGAGTGTCGTGCATGAGGCAGAGCAGAACTAAGTCTCTCCAAACATCTCAAAGAGAGAGTCCTATGTGAGAGGCTTCTCAGATGGAGAGAGAGAGAGGAGAGAGAGAGAGAGAGAGAGAGAGAGAGAGAGAGAGAGAGAGAGAGAGAGAGAGAGAGGTGTGCAGTCTTCTGCCACAAGAGAGTTACCTAGTTCTCTCAGGCTGCAAACGAAGCTCAGTCACTGAGGTGCTCACACTGTACAAGCATAGGAACCAAGTTCAATCCCTTAAACCTACCCCAAACAGCAGAGGGAGCATGCGTTTGTGGTCTCAGTGCAGGGGAGGTGGAGACCAGCAGCTCCAGGGCTAACTGATCAATGCTGAGGAGGCAGAGACTGGCAGCCCCGGGGCTGACTGACAGCTACTCTAGCAAATCAAATATGCATTGAACAACTGTGTTGAGCCACAGTAGCCAAGGCCTATGACCAGATACTTGATGGTGACACCCGACCACACCCTGGCACAGGTACTGGCACAGGTACTGTCACCACTTAGCTAACTGTTCACAAGTGTTCCTCAGCGAGTTTTGCAGGTGTTCCTGGGAACCCAGTGCCTCATGTCATGCACCACACATCACATGTTCCATGTGTCATGTGCAGTTCTGAAGGACCGAAGAAGTCACCATCTCTCAGAGACTTCTCAGAAAACTCAAGAGCAGAAAAACTGTTTCTTGCGTTATAACACTTATAAGTTACACGGAGAAGGTTCCTGGTAGCTACAGATAACAAAGGGTTATCTAAGAAGGGAGCACGCGGCTGTCCATCATCTAGGCCATTGGGTAATCTATTTGGCATGGGATGGCTGCCATGTTGTCCCTGCATTCCTGTTACTGAGCGGTAACAGCATCTATGTAAAATGTAAGAAGGAGCTGGCCAACAGGAGGGTGATGGTCTTACAAATGGCTACACAATCTTCGCTATCAGGTAAAGGGGTGGTGCTTCAGTCAGCAAATCACTAAACAGTCAAGGCATGCACAGAAGAGCTGTGTAAGAACACTGGGCAGACTAAAGGGACCCATCGGGGCGAAGACGAGGCTGTCAACACTGCAGGTGAGCAGTAACGTCTGGCACTGAGCTGTTGGGAATTATAACTGAATCAATCGAACCAACAAACAACTGGACAGATGAACAAGTGAACAGATGAATTAATGAATAAACAAATGGACGGCAGAAAGAGTGAGCAAACGATGAAAACCTGCAATCTGGCGATGGCTCTGGGATTCCAGGCTCATGCTTAGAGCACAGGTATACCCTGTACTGCCAGGCACACCAGGACTGAGCATGTGCCAGGCGGCTGGGCGGCTGCTACAGTCTCAAATCCTGAACGGTTTCTACATTTCACACCAAGATTCATTAGAGGGTTGGTAAGACAAGAATAGACACAATAGCCATCTTATTATCTATACAAACAAATCAGAACTGTAATCTAAAATCTCACTTGAGTCTAGATTCAACTAACACACACACTCTCTCTCACTTGAGTCTATATTCAACTCTCTCTCTCTCTCTCTCTCTCTCTCTCTCTCTCTCTCACACACACACACACACACACACACACACACACACACTCTACCAAGCTGTTAAAACAGAATTTTCTTCCTGTTTCTCATTTCCCACCCTCCCATCTCCCTGTACTTCAGGGAGTCGGGCAGTCAGGCAACAAAGGCATGGTGCACAAAGCTTTAATTTTATAGAACACTGTGAGAGCAATCATTTTGGCTCCAGATAACCCATGGAAATCTCTTCTGTCCCGTGTCACATGGAAATGTGGACCCTTGTCAACAAAGCACAAAGAATCACAGGAGCCAGATGCACAGCCTGGAGTTTCATTTCCATTTTTATTGGACATATTTACTAAATTCGCTAGCGATGTGTGGCAAGTCATGCATGATTCCGGAGAGCCATTACCTCTCACAGGCAGTGGCCTTTGAAGGATGCCTTTACCCTAAAATGTCACTGACAGAAGAATGTGAGGGTTAGGGGTGGGGCCTCATCCTTGGAAAACAGAAAAAGAGCTTTAAAAACAAATACAAAAACAAAACCCCAACCATTTTGTGTGTATAAATGTGGGTGGGTGGATGTGTCTGTGCCTCGGTGCCCATAGGGAAATTACACGACAATCCTTTGTGTCTATTCTCACCTTCCACCTTGAGACCGGGTTTCCTGTTCAGTGATGTACACCAGACTAGCAGGCCCATGAGCCTCTGGGGTTTCCTGGCTCTCCCTCCCATCTTGCCATTGGAACACTGGGCTCACAAACTCCCAGGCTGGTCTCATGTGGGCCTAGGGATCCAAACTCAGGTCTTCATGCGAAAGCCCTGTACCTACTTAGTAATTTCTGTCAGAAAGACCTTAATCAGGCAGCCAGGGCTGTGGCTGCACTTCCTGCCCTGAGTGAGCCCATTCCTCAGCTCATTTCCATTTGAAGAATCATCCCATGATGCTCCAGGCCTCTCAGTCCAGACGTGCACAAATTTACTCAAGGGTCCTGGGCCAGCAGGAGGTCCCTTAACAAGCTTCCCCCACCAACTCCATCAAGAAACCAAAAGTGGCCCTGGTTTCTTTCAACTGAGAGCAAGGTGGGGGCAGGCAGCTGGACTGCCCTTGAGGCTGGATCAGAAAGGCTTTTGATGCACACAAACACCATCCCCACAGAAGACTTCAGTCAACTCTGCAGTGAAGGGCATAATCAGACATCGCTGACCCCAGGACGCCAGAAGTGTCCATTAACCTGAAGGCCCCTCAGGCTGCAGGCAGAAGCAGATGGGTTCTCAGTCAAATTATTTTGTCATTGATACCCTGTAAGACTATTACTGAGTTGATCTATCTATCTATCTATCTATCTATCTATCTATCTATCTATCTATCTATGAGCGAAGCACTTTCAACAGCATTGAGTAAGATTCCTTATAATTAGCTAGTTTTACCGTGTCTGTCATCCTCGTGGAACTTGTGCAGAGGACCACTGCATAATAAAAAGTCACACAGACGTGGGCACATGCGCATAACTGCTCATTTAATCCCTTTCCTTCCTAACAGGCTCTAAGAGCCAATTTATGAAAGAAGACGGAGGTAATTTTCCACGCCACAAATCAAATGTGATGTCAGAGCCTCAGGCAAATCCTGTATCCTTAACTGTAGGACTATGGAACCAAAGTAAGCTGCCCTTAAAAAGAGTTTTCAGTTTTATTTAAAAGGTTTATTATTTATTGGTGTGCAGGTGCATGCAGACATCAGGGGTACACAGAAGAAGGCACTGGATCCCCAGGACGTAGAACGAGAGGCAGTTATGAGCACCCAAACGTGGGTGCAGGAAACTAACCTCACGTGTCTCTTAAGAGCGGCAGGTGTTCTAACTCCCTAGCCATCTATCTCTTCAGGCCCAAGTTTTTTTGATTATAAAGTGCACCAAAGCATGGCTAGAATTCTAGCATGTAAGAGGCTACCAGGAGAAGATGGGAGAGTTTTGGGCCAGCCTGGGCTACTATGTAGTGGGGGCTCTGATCCCCACCAAGAAACCCAAACCAAATTAAACCCAATCGGATACAGAAAAGTCAATGGCTACCCGGTCTCCTTTTAGCAAGTCTTCTGTGATTTCTTAATGTCTATGGATGCAGGTTGGGAGTGAGGACACCTGTGGGATGCAGAGGGAGAAAGACTGCAGCTAGCTCAAGGCCAGCAGCCTCAAAACTGTAGGGTTGGGAATGCAGCTTGGTACTTGCCTGGTATTCCTGAGGACTCTAGCGACACAGGCACATAGGTACGTGTGTGAAACACACATCCTCTTTCCAACAGGGCCAACAGTGCTGCACGGTCTGCCTGTGCTGGAACATGGCTGGCACACACAGAACAGCATTTCCTGCACATCTAAGAGCTGGTTCGACAGGGCTGCAGGCCAGAGGACATCTGAACACAGCACATACCATCCTCAGGGCCCATATGTATCAGAAGTGAAAATGAATCAGGAAGAATGAAAATATTAACTTTAAAAAAGCTCAAATTTAGATTCACAAAGAGCAAGGAACAACTGAGAATCCTGCCCGACGTGTGCTGGGTTGGTTCCTTCCCCAGAGGTGAGGACACAGAGAGAGTGACTGAGTAATGTGGAGCAGAGGACTGTGTGCTCGGGGAAGGACATCAACACAAAGAATTAATTATAGGCAGATCCAGGCAGATAAGAAAGCCTCTTGGGAGGAAAAACATGCTCTTGAGGAAGAGACAGCAGCAAAAACATACACTCTGTAGTTTTGTTTATTTGTTTTAGCTGAAAAACAATTCAATATTCCTTAGGAAACTCTATTCTTTGAAATCATGTGCTCGAAATACCAGGCATAATGAGAATGTTACTATTTTTATTATCTAACAACCTTAAAAGCTTCTTATAGAGCAACAGCAGACCAAACCTACATCAGGTCTGGAAACGCTTTTCACTCAGCTCCACAGTGGTCCATCTCCAGGAGAGATTGAAGACCTGACCCTTATTGACAGAGGAGACACACATCTGTATTCTCACCACAGAGGCACTTAGAAGTTTCTGTCAAAGGTGCTCACTTACAAGATATATTTATTAGCTTCTAGCAAGGCCGAGAGGAAGCTATGCTCCCTACTCAATCTGAGTCTTGTTTTCTGAAACAGTTTTTTATCTTCCATTGCGGCTTCTTTATCGTAAGTGTGGCTCCTGGGTCCTGGGGCAAGGCAGTTGGGTCTAATGGGCAGAATCCGGCAATGTGAGGCTATGAGAAACTCCCTGTGGGGGCTTTACAGGGTTTGGACCTTTAACACTATGAAGGATTTCAGCTCTTTAAACCTTTATTTTACAAACCTATTGGCAAACGTAGGAAACTTGGCCACTGAGAGACTAGGGGGCTAGGGCTGCAGCTCAAGGGTGGAGTCCATGCTTAGTGTGCACAAGGCCTTTGGTTCTATTCACAGCATCACAAAAACAAACACATCAGGCTGGGAGCAAATGCTAAGCGCAATCTCACAGACTTTACAAACCTGGCATATTAACCACAGAGACCAAGATGCCACAAGAGCACTTTGTTTTTCTAAAAGATCCCCATTTAGGAATGAGCTCCCCAAAAGGGCAGCCATCAGAGCCACCTGTGGTTAATTAAACTGCATTAATTAAAGTGGAAAACTCAGCCACACTTCAAGTGTGTGGCAGCTGCATGTGGCTTGGGCATGGCACAGATGCGACCAGGCGTGTGCTGCTGGGAGGGAGGAGAAAGGACACCTTTGTGTCATGAGTCTAGAAGGTAGATACAGCCAGTGTACTGTCCTCATAAGAAACTCCCCTTTAATATGACAGGAACTTGGGGGAGGGTATCAGGGACGGGGTGGGAAGGGAGGAGGGAGGAGAAACTGCAGCTGGGGTGTAATATATGAGAGAAGAATAAATTAATTAAGAAGTGACAGAAACTCCAGTGAATTGAAAGCAATCGCTTTTCCGTCAACTAAAATGTAGAAGAAACACTAATTATGCAAGTAAGTTCTGAGTACTCTAAGGGATTGGGTCCCTGTGGTGGAGATATGAAAGAACTTTAGGATGTCTCTGTTCCCCTAATCCCAGCCTCCTGCATCCTCTCAGCAGGTAAACTCTGGAGCTTGCCCCCTGATTAACTGGATGGAGACACAAGCTGCATGGTACGGTGGCCACCAGAGCCCCACCACACCCGCTACCTGGGCTGTGGTCTTCAGGGAGCACAGTTTTAACTAGTGTCCTCTGCCTTATGGTCTGACTGGCAGGCAAACTTCTAACACTGAACTATGACCTTGTCATCCATGCACAGATACTAAAAGAACCACACAAAAAGTAAAACGTTAATGTTTTAAATACATTTATGACTCTCAGCAGTTCTTGCTAAAGGTGCAGAGGTTGGACAGACCTAGTGGTGTTGCCTTGAGGCTGAGAACCACGATCATCTGCCCGCAGCAGATAGACCACGTCCCACTTCACACCCGTCCCTTCCCACCACCTGTGTATCTCCAGGCCTTCCAGTGGTTTTTCATGACAGGTCACAGGGATGATGCCCTGTCCCCACCCAACACCTCTGAGGCTTCAGTGTGAGAACAGCATGGCCCCCAGAATCTGTCTGCTGTCCCACATTCCTCCAGATGGGCAGCCCTGTCTTGTTAATAACTACACATCTTGATTTGAGGTGTGTAGGCCATGAAGGCTACGCTGAGCACACTCAGTCCCAGTAAGCCTGGTGAGTCAAATGGACCCACCCCCTGGTCTTGGTGACTTAGTTTCATACACAATATCTGGCGTCACTCTTTACAGTGGCAGTGGTGCATGTCACACGCCCATCTAAAGCACTAATGGCTCTCATGGTCCACAGAGACATCTCACTAGCTCTCTTGAGGATCCTGCAGGCAGTCAGGAATGCCCTGGTGACAGTGCACACTGCCCAGCCTCCTGGTCTTACCTGCGGGGAGAGCCGTCCTCGTGGGGCTGGATGATAACCACTTTCACAGTCACAGATGTCCGCAGGAGGTCAATCATCTGCTCGTGGGTCAGCGTGGCCACGGCCACCTTGCAGATCTCCACGAGCCGGCTCCCTTGGCGAAGGCCTGCCTTCCAGGCGAAGCCGAACGGCTCCACGTCGGCGACGATCCCTTCAAAGTTCACATGGAAGCCAAGCTGGCCCAGCCCGTTCCTTCTCAGGGTCATCTCCACAGTCTCGCAGCCTCTAGTAACTATCTGAGGGGATGGAAGCTGTTAGGCAGGTTTGGTCTTTCTCCCTGGCTACCACAGATGAGACCCTACTGGGGACCCACATGCACGTATCTAAGCAAGCCCCTCTCCTCTCTGGCTCTAACCTCAGCCACCCCTCTGTCCCTCCAAGTGACCTGGAAGGTATCTGAATACAGAGTTCACCATGGCTGCCCATGACAAAGAGCAACAGAACCAAAGCCCGGTTTTGCCATGGCTCGAGTGGCAGGCTGCCTGGCTGGAGAAGCCCCCGACCTGCAGCCTGTGAGCTCTGCATGCATTCTGCCATTCCCTCCACTTCCTGTCACTAACGGGACTCTGAAGCACTTGAATTCCTCTCTTCTGGACGAAGCACAACAAGAGAAAGAACGAGACCATCCTGTTCTTTACTCTGAGGCCTCCTGGGTACTTTTATCTAACTCAAACAGCAAGACATGGCCTGAAGTGGTTCTGGTCTCCTGCGAGGTGATTTGCCCCTGTGTCCAGGAAGGGCCCAGGAGGGACTGGACTGTGAGAAAAGCCTTAACTATTCTGAAGCACTGGCCGGAAGACTTCCTAGTCTGTCCTACCTGGCCTCCTGGGAGTGACCACTTATGTCCATCTGGTACCAAGGGCCCTTCTGATCAATGTGGGGCTTTGCAGGTAGCAGAGGAGTCCTATGTTCCTGCAGCCACCCTTCCTTCTGTCACCTGTGCCCTGGAGGCTAAGGGATATCCCAGGAAGCTCCAATGACACTCCTCTGGAAGACTAGGAGTCTATACAGTACCCCAAGAACACGAAAGAGCCAGTTCAGTGGCTCGGCGCCACAAGTGAGGTAATTAGTCACTGTGAGCCTCAGAGGCACTGATGGAATGTGGCTTGCAATGCCATGAAAGGAAAACACGGCTCATTAAACATCATCTGAGGATGATGACATCACGTTTTTGTGGGAAATTTCAGGTTGGGAGGTATCATCCCCCATCCCTGAAGCCCTGGGGCCAGTGTACAGGAGTTTCAGTTCAATAAACTCTGCCGTCCAGGAACCTGGCTCTGAATATACGCATTCCTCTTATCGAGCCCTGTGGCTGTGAGTGCAGCTGGGGAGCTGTGGCTTGCTCCCTGAATCAGCATCTGGCCTAGGTTTCTATGGTTACAAAAGTGCATACACTGCCAGTTGGCTTCTCCCAGACCAGCACAGATGCTGGGGACTCAACAGAAAGGGAGCCCTGGTGTCAGCCAGGAGGGAAGTTCCAAAAAGTTCAGGTTTTCACTGATCTGATCTCATTCCAACTGCTAACCGAGCAGTCCTTGAAGTCCCTCTGTGTCCAACCTCCATAGACACTTCCTCATCTCCCAACTTTGCTCTAAGCGGTCCTAACACAGTGGCTTCTAAGATGCCTGTGTTCTGGCAGAGAGAATGCAGCTGCTACCTGAAATGTAATTGGAGATACTGGGTAAACAGCATCAGCTGGTGCTGTTCCTGACTTCCTCCCTAGTGTCATCGTCCCCTGCTTCCAGACATCCCTGAAGGCAGAGCAGGCTCTCCTTGTCTCTCGTCTGCCCCATGTACTTATGCAGACTCAGTGACCCCGTGAAAAAAGCAGTTTCCCATCCACACACCTGGGCTGAGAAGTATGATCTGTGGGACTCACTGGACTGTACAAATACCGGACTGTACAGATAGAGGGTCTTTATTCAAAGTCCATTAGATTGAAGCCTGACAGGGAAACCTCTGTCCAAGCATGGCCCTCTGAGGATGACTTTCCAGGACTCTCAGGTGGCATGCCCAAGGTCCCTCTGGGAGTGAGCTCTCCTCATGTATGGTAGTGTACACTTCTGGCTGTACTCTGTACAACAGGCAACAGACAGTAATCTCACCATCTACAAAACTGTGGGGTCCCTACCGCCTCTAACTCGATGGTCTCACGTAGACACTGCCTGCAATGACGGTAAGCACTCGAACACCCACGGACACTGGCTGATTCTACTCTCTCACGACAGCCTTGCAATAGAAGAGACTCACTCTGTGTGAGGAAAGAACAGGAAGTGGAATCCATGTCCCTTTTTAAGGATTCTCAGTTGACTATGCAGTACATCTCCTAGGGAGAGGATTTACCAATAAGATATTTTATGGCCAAAACGTGCTTTCTTCTTGTACTGAACCAAGCAATCCAAACAGCAAATTATTGGCTATTATTCTACTGCACAGACAAAGAAAATCTGAATTTTGCTTTGTTAACATTAGGAACAAAAATGTGACTGTTTCCCATCTTGGGCACAATGCTGGGGTTTGGTGTTAAAAATCAGATTAAGTCATGGTGGCACACATTTGTGATCCCAGTATTTGAGAGGCTGAGGCAAGAGGATCTCAAGTTTGAAGCTGGCCTGGGATATACTGTAAGCTCCAGACAGCCTGGGTTACATAGAAAGACTCCATGTTTTATCTTTGTGTGTGTATCTGTGTGTGTGTCTGTACACATGCATGTGTGTATGGAGGACAGAGGTCAATCTTGGCCATCACTCCTCAGATGTCCGTTTCTGAGATGACGTTTCTTTATTGCGATTTGAGGTTCTCAGATTAGGTGGTGCTGGCTGGCTAGCAGGCCCCAGGGATTCTCTCATCTCAGCCTGCTCAGTGTTGAAGTGCACAGCACCATGCCTGTTCCACGTGTGCTCAGGAGGAAATTCAGGTCTTCATGCTTGTACAGTGAGCTTGTTGTTAACTGATTCAGTGGCCTTGTCCAGCCCCAGACCTTAAAGGTCTCCTCCTCTTTTCAGAGGTCTCTCTCTCGCGTGTGCAAGACTGTTGACTGTTTTTATTTTCTAACTTACTGTCTAATTTTGTGAAATGAGATATTAGCATCACATTTAACATCTTTAAATTAAAATATTTGCTAAACAAACATGCAAAAAGGGAGAGAGGGCCCAGTCATTAGCAAACAACAAATCTGTGTTTTTAAGGGCGTGTAGTGCCCATCACACAAACTTATAAAATATTTTAAATTTTCTCTTGGTTTTTCTTCAACTATTAGAGAAATGGCTCATAACTTTCTTTGAAGTTGGCTCAACTTTCCTAGTCATGTGGTTATGGGTGGCCTCTTCATTGCTTGTGTTCACTGACTCTTATTTAAAAACAAAACAGTAGGCTGTGGTTGGTCAGGCAGTAGACTGCTCAACTACCATGCAACTATCACACCCTTGGTGTGATCTCCAGTACCATACAAAACTGGACACAGTAGACTACAGCTGTAATCCAAGCACTTCTGAGGTGAAGAGACAGGTGGATTACAAGTTAAAAGTCACCCTTGGATACCTGGTGAGTTCAAAACTGTCCTGAGCCATGAGAGACTGACTCAAAAGAAAACCAGAGGGAACCAGTCCTCTCTGGAATAGCAGCTGCTTTCCCAAGCCCTAAGACCACAATGGACCTCCCTATACAACCTGCTGGGGCTCTGAGGCTGAAGCACAGACATTGGGAGACACACGCCATACTTACTACCAGTCGCTGCACTATTTCTCGAATGTCTTCAGAACAGTTATCCACTGAGGACAGCAGGAGACACTCTCCCCTTTCATAGAAGACTTTGATGCTCACTAACCCTGAAGTCCAACCAATCACGTCCCTACAGGAACAGTTAAACACGACATTCTTGGAATCCTTCTCTATCAGCATGATGAACTCATTGGAGATCCCCAGAAGACACTCAATGTCTGATGACTGGCCAAAGTCCCGTGCCACCACATGCCACGTGATGGCCCCGATGCTGAACAGGTGTGCATCCTTCCTTGGCTTTACCCGCTCTTTCTTCTTTGCCCCCAGGGTGATAAAGCTGAATTTTGCAGAAGTGTCCACTGTGGCGGTTGTGACAAAGTTCTCAGCTAAATCCTTCAAGTACTCTTGCCTTGTTCGGGTAGCCATGGCCCGGAACTTCTCTGACTTATGGGCCGCATTTTCTGCGTTGATCACTTTGGCTAAAAGGAAGTCCCGGAAGACGGCCGACTTTGGAAAAGTTACACCTTTGGGGATTGGGGGACCGAAGGGAGGGACATCCTTTGATCTGGAAACTCCAACGCTGAGGAAGGAAATGACATTGATGAGCTATGGTTCTTTCCTTTGAGGTGACACGTTCCCACACTTGTGGCACAAACCTGAAGACCAGAGTTCAGGTCCCCAGAAACCATATCAGTGAGCTCTGGGCTCCACTGAGAGACTCTGTCCAAGGAAGAAGAGCCACTGAGGAAGACTCCTGACATTAACCTTGGCCTTTCATATGCACAAATGTAAATGTGGACTTCCCCCCAGCAGGTGTGTACTCATACATACAAAGCATGTGCGTGCTCACACATACACAGGCACACACACACATGCTAAAGATGGAAAAGTTATGAAAAAAAAAAGCTGCCATACATCCAAGACAAGCGGTAAGGCAGGGAGCGCTCTTATCAACTTACAGAGAACAGTCATTCATCCTAGTGGCCTCCTAAGGCACAGCCCCAGACAGAAGCAAGGACTCGGAGCAGGTCTAACAAAGATGGTCTTGGGGCTCTGAAGCACACACAGGCCTTTGAAGTCATCAAAGCAAGTGTGGGCTCTGGGCCCCAGTGGCCCTGCGTGGGAGTCTCTAGGCTTTTACCTGCCTTTCACTTCCCTTGTGGTGGTGGATGAGCCACACCATCCTGCTGAGAGGCTGGTGTCAGCCATGGGTCCTGTTTAGCCTCTTAGGAAAGCAGAAAACTGAACCTTGCTCCCCTGAGCTGCCATGCACTTCCTTTCTCAAGGGAGGAAGGCAATTACTGCTTGCAAAAATATAATTAGAATGTTATGAGGCTGGCTAGGAAATGTAGCTCTGGGTAGAGCATGTGGCCAGCATATACAAAGCCCTGGGTTTAATTCCCAGTACTAGCAAAAATAAATAACAATTATTATCAGGCAGGTTACAGTGCCAGCAGTTGAGAGGTTGAGTTCCTGGCCAGTCTAAGCTATATAGTGGGAGAGGAAGGAAGGATGGAAGGAGGGAAGATGGGCTGAAGGAAGGAGAGAGGTTAGGTAGTTATGAAGCTAGGAGAACGGAAAGCCAAATGGGAGGCAGGGCCCCACACTCACCTGTAGCACACGTTTTCAGTGCAGGGGTTATGCACCTTCACTATTACGAAGACATGCTGGAAGTGTGAACGGATGTTCTTGGGGGTGAACGGGAGGGCGCCAGGCTCTTGGAAGACTATAGTGACAATGTCGTTCCCGATGTGCCTCTTCCTCAGAAGCTGTGCAGGAAAGGAACACCCAGAGTGACACAAAGTACACTAATATATACAACCTGCTCCTCTCAGCTGAAGAAGGAAGAGAGACACACGGAGCCCTTCCTGGGTTTCAGTGGCCTTAGGCATGCTAACAACTGGGTGAGTCACAAGCAGAAGACCCCCAGGAAGAGAAACTCAACATCCAATGTCATCAGAGAGAACACAGTCCTAGGAGGGAAGTAGGCTACCCTGGGCTACATCCCCACCTATCCCTCTTACATAGGAATCTGCTTCTGTTTTCTCTCCATTAGCTATTTCTTTCCTTCTAAAATAGCACTCTAGTGATCAAAATGCTTTGTAAGGTATGTTATAGTTTAAGCACGTGAACTTAGCGAGGAGGAGACAGTCCGAGGAGGAGGGACCGATTGCAAAAGCCCTGGGTTAGACCACAGGCTTCCAGGCTGGCTTGCACTTCAGAAAAACAATAAACAACAACAAAAAAGGACAAAAAACAAGACAGGAGGCTGCCTCCAGGGGCATCATAGGTCTTCAAACTAATTAACTGAAACTTGGCTTTTTAATGCCATCTATATTAATTTATGAATCCAGAATTCCACTACACTAGCAGCCAGAAAACCTAATCTTTTCTAATCTTGAAGAACTCAAAGTCCAGGGGAGATCCCAGAGCTGCAGTGTTGTAAACACCTTTACTTCTGACAAGGCTTCTGACTGACAAGAATGCTGCCCACTGCAGGCTCTTCCTGGCAGTTCCTGTTAGGGTGGAGTGAGGCATCAGCACACCTCACCTGGACAACCCTCTCTGCTCCTCAAGTTTGGATCTGAAGTGTCTCGCAAAAGCTCAAGCAGGAAAGCCCATGCAGCAGCATTCATGGCGGGACTCTGGCTCTGATCTCCAGGGGATAAATCTATGGAAGGCTTCTTGTGGAAAGCACTGTGGAGATGAGGAGCTTGGGCCTGGCTGGAGGAAGCAGGCCACTGGGAAGTGCCTTGGAGGTACCTTGTGTTCGGCCCTGTTTCTCAGATGCCAAGAAGGCATCTAACTTTCCTCTGATAGGCCCTTCCGCCTCACCACAGTAACCAGAAACAGTCAGGTGACCACAGGCTGTAGCATTGGAAGCTGTGTGAAACAATAAATCTTTCCTCATCCACACTGATTTTCTCAGATGTCTTGTCAGTGAGAAGTCTGTCAAGACCGTCTCTGCTCCACGCTCACACCTAGGTGTCCCTGTTCCCTGCTGGTTGGTTCACATTCCTGTAATGTACCTTCCTGAGGACAGGAGGTGTACTGACTGGCTTCCTGCTTTCCAAAGCCATGCCCAGCACCAAGCAGGCATCCAAATAAATGAGACACACAGTTCACGTTCCTTACACTGTGCATTAAAACCATGCTCGATTTCCTGTGACCACACTGCCAAGACCTGCACACAGGAGGCCCCCTGGATGTGCTGTCAAGCATCCTAGGAGTGGGCACGCACACTTCAATGCAGCCAATGCAGAAAAGAGCTGGTGCTGTCTGTCTCTCCAGGACTGGGTTCACTGGCAACAACAAAGGCCGTGACCTTTGCCCTTTAGTTTGTTACCTCCAGAACATGGGTCTCACTGTCAAGAGCATGAAGTTTAACTTTTAGAAAAATAAAAAGGATCCGTGTGAGCTCCCAGGCTTTTAATTTAACACAGTAAAGGGCCAAGGAAGTGAAAAGGAAATGTTCCTCCAGAGGAGTTCTCCACAGGCAGTGATGTCCAAGGTCACAGCCGAAGCATCCTGCTTGTATCCTGTTGTTAAATTTCTAAGCACAGGGAAATCACTGTACTGTTTGAGAAAAGTTTTGAAACATGTTTTAATACATAGTAGCAGATCCACTGAAACTCCCAGTTCAAATCTATAGTTTTAACAGAGTTTGATACATCTCTAAGTAAAATGTACTGTTTCAAATTCATGTTAAAAAAAAAAAAGTAAAAACTACACTAGGCAAAAATACAGTGAAAACCACACTAGGGAAAAATACAGTGAAAACTACACTAGGCAAAGTTGGGAAAACAATTCTCCCTTTCCTGACACCTGAAATGCTTATTTTCATATGCTGTGACCAGACATGGGAAGATCAGAAACAAACTACCAAAGTAGAACTCATCCTGGGGCTGTTGGTGGGCACACCTGTAGAACACAGAACAGTACTTGTCCTGAACACCACTCATTCAGAGTTCCCAAAGTACAGAACTCCTTAGAGTGCCCTGAAGACAGAGCTAAGAGAAGATGTTGGGGTAACCTTTTTTCTACGCAGAGTGAAGGTATGTCTCTGTATTGTGAGTTGTTAGTTCAGCAGAGAGCTACAGGAGGGTGGTGCTGTCATTTCTATGGCCATCCCCAGCCTTACATTTGTAAATGCTTGTCCTTCCACACCTGCTTGGATACTTGAAGGTCAGACAGCCCTTGATGCCTAGAGGCAATCTAGAATCAGATCAGAGATTGTCTCACTGTTGACTGGTTGTAGTAAAGATCTGATGGGTAATAGCAGGAAGGAGGGGGCGGAACTTCCAGGCAGAGAGGGGGAAGAAAACAGAGGAGGAAGATTAAGAGCTCAGACTTGGAGGGGAACAGCAAGACCAAAGCCCAGTAGAGAAAGGTGCAGATCTAACCATGTGGGGGATTGTAGGCTAGTTAGTCAGGTTAAGTTTATTGTAGCCAGGAGACTGCCCAAGCAGAGGGCCTTAGCTTTACACTATAATAGAAGCCTCTGTATTATTATTTATACTGTAGACGGGTCTGAGAATGTCCCACTGTGAGAACCAAAGGCTGGGCGGGAGGGCTCTGCATCACCTGTGTCTAGAACAATCATGGTGCCCTGTGTGTCCCCTGGCACCCAGACAACTGACCTATGAACATGTGGCAAAACCCCAACTCAAAGCACCAACAAACTAAGGGAGGCAGGTGGCCTCTGTATAGTTAAACAAGGCCTTTCTATCCAAAGACAGCCTTTCTTGCTCCCTACAGAAGCACAGAAGCTAGCTGCAGTTCTTGCCTCCTACCAACAAGCCCACCACAAACTCGACTGACAGAGCAGATGTTCATCAGTGACTGTCTCCTATGGCAAACTCTGCTGACAGCAAGAGTAAATGCACAAACTAGCCAAGCAATGGCACTTTACAATGACGATGAAGACACAGAGACTAAAGCAGGGTCACCCCAGCCCTCAGCTTCCACAGCAACCCTCCAGCTGAGTCATTCCTATGCAGGGGTGGGGAGGAAGCTAAGCACAGAGCCACCTCTGAGCTTTATCCTGGCAGTGACAGCCAAGGGGACACTGGCATAAGTGCGACCTGCTCAGGTATTGCTGAACAAGCCAGGCTGCTCTACCACCCACAGTACTCATGAGCTGTAGCAACCAGGACCCAGAGGTGCAAAACCCTTTACAAGCAGGGTTTGCCACCAATCTCAACAGCCCAGGTCCAGCCAAGCATTGCAGCCTGTAAACCTGCTATGAGCATAATACCAAAACCACAGGACCTGGATACTCCTCATATATTCCACAGGCTTGATGCCCCTTCTAGTCAGGCCCACTTATACTTCACACATACACTAAGAAAGAAAAGTTATGGTATTCTAGGCACCATTCCGTCTCCTCTTTTATGAGCCTACTCTGAAGAAAGCATGTCTCAGCCAAGGTGAAGTCTGAAGTTGCCATGTGGAGTTCTTGGTAATTGTTAGCATTATGTCTAAACTCCACCTCCACAGTTACTGGCGATAGCCAGGTAGGCCTGCCCACTATAAAAGGGGCTGCTTGCCCCCTCCTTACTCTCTTACCCTCTTACCCTCTTACTCTCTTGATCTCTTGCCTGTCCCCCCTTCCCTTCCCCCTGTCTCCACGAGGTCATGGCAGGCCTCTACTTCTCTGCTCCCTCCCTTCCCCTCCCCTTCCCTCCCTCCCCCCTCCTCTCTGCCTCTACTACCCTCCTGTCTCCTCTCCACATGCCCTGACTAAACTCTATTCTATACTATACCGGTGTGTGACTGGTCCCTCAGGGGGAAGAGATGCCTCGGCATGGGGCTCGCTGAGACATCCCCTTCCCCCATACTTCTCCACACACCCACAGAACATACTCTTTATCTCTTTATCTCTTTATAAACATAACAGTAATGGCATCACATGATGGCTGAACTGTGGTCTGCTCCGAGAAGGGACACAGGAAAACCCAGCCTTAGGAGAGGCCCATGTGGGTTTATCCTGTGTAGAGACGTGGGGTCCAGGAGCATTTGTAATCCCTGGGGCAGGTAAGGCTTCCTCTGTGGGAAGCACTACAGGCTTGCTGAAGACGGCCTGCTGAAGACTCCTAGGTCTTTACTGCCCCAACAAGCAGTTCCTGGATTGATTTATTACAGGAACAAACACATGAAAACAGATCCTCTGAGGACGAGTCTGGGGCAGTTAACAAGGCATGAACACTCTGGGGCTAATGAGACCAAGGGTACAGGCAGGGCCAGGGTTCCAGCTGGGCTGAGTCCTATGGCAGTCACCAAGGGTGTGTCTGGTCCTTCAGACTTTTCTGCTCTTGGTATTACCAGTGTGGGCATCATTCATGGGATAAGAGGGATGGGAAGACTCAAGAGAACCCTTGACAAAATTCTAATACTCATGTCCAAGATCAGAGAGCACCACTGTTTAGCTACAGACATCTTCATGGCAACCTCAACCAGGTCTATTAAACGTCAGGGTGAAGAAAAGTCTCCAGAGTTATCCATGCATCCAGGCCTCACCTTTATATACTAGATCTGTAGGAACGGGGACAAAGCCAACATGCAAATCTAGCCACCTAAAAATTCACACCTATAGGATCATAAGCAGTGTCAGTAAAACTCAAGCACACTACATATGACACTGTTTTAGGGACTCACAGCCAGAACTGGTAGTGAAGGCTAGTGATCTCAGGAATCTAGGGACAGATCTAGGTGAAGGGGGAACAGCAGCAGCAACAACAACAAAATACTAGAAAACACTGTGGATAGTTCAGGAAGGTCAAGGGATTGAGCTAGGAGCCTGAGAAAATGTTCAGCTGATGAGCACCAAGAAGGGTGGGGAGTGAAGTGGAAGCATCCGTGCTTCCCAAGCTCCCCAGTGGTCTTCTCAGCTGAAGGACTTTTGGGGCTTAGAAGTAGTGAGAAGGGAACAAGCAACTGTTTTCTTCTTTGGGAAGAATGTAGTTTTGACTCAACTTATACATTTCACAAGTATTTAAGAAATTAGAAAACTCAGGGCTGGGGAGACGGCTGCCCTTCCAGATGACCACCTGGGCTGGGTTCCCAGCACCCTCACGGTGGCTACAACAATCTGCAACCTCACACCCAGCAAACACTTATACACACTGTGCTAGTTTGAATAAAATGGCTCTCAAAAGTCCATAGGGAGTGGCACTACTATGAGGTGTGGAGGAACTTGTTGGAGAAAGTGTGTCACTGTGAGGGCAGACTTTGAGGTCTCAGATGCTCAAGGTAGGCCCAGTATGCCAGGCTCTTCCTGCTGCCTATGGCTCCAGATATAGAGCTTTCAGCTGCCTCTCCATCACCATGGCTGCCTGCATGCCACCATGCTTCTTGCCTTGATAATGGACTAAACCTCTGAACCTATAGGCCAGCCCCAATTAAATATTTCCCCTTATGACAGTTACTGTGGTCGTGGTGTCTCCTCACAGCAATAAGACCCTAACTAAGACACATATAAAATAAGCACATCTAAAAAACTAAAATGAAATCAAAAAGGAAATGAGCTCATCCTCTGCCATTAATCATTTTCACTCTTCGGATGCATCACGGTCAGGCCACACTCTGCTCTCTGTGCTTCTGTCTACACAGGAAGGCAAGTGTGGTACCCGGAATGTAAGCACCTGAGCTCAGAAACAAATCTCAGCCCTGCCTTCACTCCAATACAAATGCCACAAGCCACATCCTGACATGACAGCTCATGGCCTTCCCTAGGAGCCTCCAGCACTCGGCAGCGCTCTTCCTTCAGTCGTCAGCTCATCTTGGATGGAGCCCAGATTCCAGAAGTGCTGAGGGTGGAGCTGCTGCCCCGAGGGACCACCTGAACGTCTCAATCTCCCACATTCCTGGAGCAGCCATGCCATGGTCGGTATTTACTATCCTTTGCACATGCTCTGTAAGGAAGCCCAGCTCGTCTTACAGCGATGGAAACCAGCCTGCTAATTACTTTGTGATGTTTTAGGCAGCTTTAAGCTTTCAACACTTCCTAAGTCTGTGGGAGTGACGGCCAGCGCAGTAGAACCGTCTCCTCACACAAATGGTCAGCACACTATGTCATTAAAACAATGCAGTAAAACCCCGGTGAGGAACAGCAGCAACAATAGCTCCAGCCTGCACCGCAGTACACTGCCCGCACTGTTTTCTATAAATAAGTTATTTACACACATGTAGAAACCTGTCTGGTCAACACAGTTGTCTGTTCTCATCATTAGCATGGTTGACATGGAAAATCTCTTAGAAAATCTGTGTAGCCAGCTTCTCAGTTTCCTGATCAATGAAAACCACAATAACATCCTCATAAAGGCTCAGATAGCCCACAGTAACAGCCAGAGACTCTCAGCTTACCAGGAACAGCCTAAGACTTAAATATAAACTGAGTCTCACTGTCACCCAGGGCTACCACCTGCATGGGGGACGTGGGGACCACAGCACGATGCGCACAGGAGGCCTTACCTGCTGCCTGTTGTTTGGCATATACGGAAGCAGCGTCGACACATGGAACATGAGTTCGAAGTCTTTGTATGTGGTGTAGAGGGAGTGGGTCCCTGTGGAATCCGCTGAGAACAAAGTAATTACACAGCTAGTTAGGCGAGCACAGAATCAGGGCTCTCCCACCTGGACAGGCATGTCTGCAGAAGGTGTTGGGTTAAAAAGCACAAGCCACACTGTGTGTAAACCTGGGAGTAATGCCTCAGGCACTCACTGCTCAGCTTTTAGCAGCTCTCACCTGGAGCCGCTTCCCACCCCCACTTTCCTGTCAACTTTCTACTGAGCATGTTCTCACAGACTCAAGAGACCCAGGAGGGGAGATTGGTCTCTTTCTGTCTGTCCTTCCTGCATGAACACACATGTTACGACGCTAACGTGAGGCTGGGGAGATGGTCCAGTCAGTAAAGTGCTTGCCAAGTGTGTGTGGGGACCCGAGTTAGAAAGGCAGCACCCACGCAAAAGCTCGGTGAGGCGGTGAAGGCTGAGGCGGTGAAGGCTGCATGTGATGGTGTGGAGACAGACCGATGGAGGTCGCTGGAGGCCAGTGTAGCCTCATCAGTGAGCTCCAGGTTCAGGGAAGGACCCTGTTTAAAAAGTCAAGTGGACGGACCAGTGAGATGGCCCACCAAGCGATACTGACATGACCTGTGGTCTTCACATGAACATGCATGCACCCACCATAATATACACAAACATGTACACATACACACACCATACCACCATAATATACACAAACATGTACACATACATATACCATACCACCATAATATACACAAACATGTACACATACATACACCATACATAAATGTCTTAAACAAGAAATGGTGGTATCTGAACTGTTGACTACAGAGCTAGTCATCTGTTGTTTTTAAATGTATATAAATACACAAACGTGTACATACATAAGACACAGGCTACTCACATACACAGGCATATAAACATACAGTCACACAAAAACACAGCAACTCCCACATAAACAGAAGCTATACAGACGAACACACAGGCTATTTGCATGCACCTGTGCACGGAGACACAGGAGTGTGCACTTGCACACATGCTTACTCTTATTGTCCAGCTGCGCACGGTACTTGCTGAAGCCCTTCAGCCGCACTCTCTGGCCGAGGAGGTCCAGGAACTCCTCGAAGGCCGGCCCCGCTGTCTCGTTGTTGTACATTTCCTCTTCCGTGCTCTGCCCAGCTTTGCAGTACAGGATCCCAATTTTGTGCTGGAAGCTCAGCTGAAATGAGAGGAAACATGATGAACTTGGCAGACACTCCAGACCTGCTCGCTTCTAGCCAAGTCAAAGCTGCGGAAGCCTGGGATCCGGTTCCCAGGAAAGCTGCTGGAAAAAGTCCCAAAAGCAACTCTAGGAGTGAAAAGCCCTGAGGAGCAGCATCTGTGGCCTGAGCCACGTGGGAATGGAGGAGGAGAGTGGGCAGCCTTGCTCGGACACGAAGCTATAAACGCGAGTGCACGAGAACATCTACCACACCGTGCGGCATAATGAGGATTAGCTTCCAAGTTCAGGACAGGGAAAGGCCAAGGACTCAGACACATTTTTTTCTCTGCCTCTCCTGTCTTTTTGTTCTGTAATTTATTTGAACATTCAAGGAAAAATGTTGGCTCAAAGGAGGGAAATCAAATCAAATTAAGGTCGGGTAAGAAAAGAATTCCAGCGAGGACTGCAATGCATGCGTGTGCGTAGAAAATGTTTTGTTTCCACCAAAGTAAGCTTGATCTTACAATTACAGTCATTTCTCACATTTTTGACTATTTTGAAAAGAAAACATTGGCTGTAGACTCGGTACTTCAGAAAGAGCTGTAGCAGCAACTGAACAGTTCCTGCCACAACTCTACCTCAGAGTCAATACCGTGTAGAGGTGGAAGCCACAGCTTTCCTCCAGTACCAGAGAGAGACTAGCTATAGCTTCAGAAATTGCTTATTTTCCTCAAAGACCTACTTCTCAGTCCTGCAAGCAGAGGCCTTGAGCATCCTAGCGGCAGCCGAGCCTGAGACTGACAGGCCTTAACTGCCATCAGCTCCCTGCAGATGCAGATCTGTAACATGCTGGGCTTCAGCACTGAGATGGGAAAGTCAGCCTCTAATAGAACCCCACAGCTGACCCCAGCAGTAACGTAAGGCAGAGTGACAGGCAGTTCTTGGAGCGAGAACACAGAGGGGACAGTCTTATCCACCTCACCATCCATGGTGACAGAACGCCGGCGGCGGAAGTCTCCCTATCTTTTTGATGGGTGCCCACAGCATGACACAATCATCTTTCTCTGCTGACAGATACTAGGGTGAGTGGAGAGTTTGGGGCCACAAGCTCCTTCCTCATCACAAAGATGGCGATGATGACTATGGCCTCAGCTGTGGGCTCAGAGAGGCTGAGCAACAGCTACTGAGCGCCTGGTATTATGGACTTACTCTTTGCTCAAAAGGAAAAATCACCCTCAAAAGAAAAAAAAAATCACCTAATTTAAAAATGCTTTGTTGTTTCTTTACCAACAGCAGTTGGGCCTATGTTGCTTGGGAGATGGTTTAGGACCTTCAGAGCTTTGGGGACACTGAGGAAGTTGACTTAACTGAGAGTCTAGGTTGACATCAAGATGCTACGAACATGTACCTTGCACAGTGAATAGTCCTTACATCCTGACTTCTCCATTACCTAAGGGTCTGAAGAGTCCACTATTAAACACCAGAGCATCAGGTGCCATGCCCCATGTCCTGGGTTGTGGTTCAGGCTGAGCAGAGCCTCCATGGGCCTGCAGGCATTCCCTAACTCCCCACACCTGGCAGACTTATGGGATCCTTGAGACTGAGCTCCTGGAAGGCTCCCCACTCAGACCTGTGCCGAGATTCTCACTTTCTGCCATCCAGGCACCCGAAACCCCAAACTGCCTAGATCCAAACAGAGAATGGGGGTGTAGTTTCCAAACACTAGGCCTGCGTCATGGGTACCAAGACCTTCGGGAAACAACAGTCAGAACTTAGATCTTGCAAATACAGGAAACACAACTCAGCCAGGGACAGGGATGCACCCTGGTTGCCAGAACCACACCTCCATCAACTGTTCTCCAGTGAGTTGCCAGCAAGATGGAACATCAGGGAGAAATGCTTGCAGGGATCCAGAACCACTGGCAACAATGTAATGATGTCTGGGAAGTGACCTATTGTCACTTGGCCTCTTAGGGAACTAAAGCATGGTCAAAAAGGCTTCTCATCTATAGAAGCCAGCACCAGGCCCTGCTGCTCACTGCCACAGACAAGCAAAAATTCTGACTCTCTTCTTCCCAGACCACTTTTCCAGCTCTCACCTGCTTACCTCAGGCTGATCTCAACACTTACCCAAACTCCAAGCCAACCTAACGCATCCAGGAGAAACTGCAGGCAGGAGTGTGAGGGCACCAGCAGAGCTGAGACCTGAGACCTGAGAGCCAGGACACACTCACTGGGACACACTCACTGAGACCTGAGAGCCGGGACACACTCACTGGGACCTGAGAGCGTCCATCACACACTCAAACACTAGACTGTCAGTTTCCTGTGGCTCAGGGCTGTGAGCAGGATACACACACAGACAGCAGGGGACTCAGCCACATCTATTCCTCCTGGGTCAGAATCAAGGCTGGCCACTCTGTCCTCAACACCAGAAGCTTCAGGTAGTGGCTTGAATAAGAATGGCCTCCACAGTTTCATATATTTGAATGCTTGGTCAGCAGGGGGTGGTACTACTGATGAGTGTTAGAGATGGGGTACAGCCTTGTTAGAGGAAGTGTGTCACTGGGGTAGGCTTTGAAGTTTCAAAAGCCCACACTAAGCCAACCTCCCCCCTCTCTGCTCATGAATCCAGATGTACAACACTCAGCTCCCTCTCCTGCACCACGTGTCCCTGCATGCCACCGTGCTTCTTGCCATGATAACGGAGTATCTGTAAGCAAGTCTACAATCAGATGCTTTCTTTTATAAGCTCTGCCTTGATCTTGGTGTCTCTTCACAGCATAGAACAGTGACTAAGACAGTTTGTCATTATCAACAAGAAGATTTAAACACAAATTTAAGGCAGCAAGAAAGAGAAGCTATGAACGTTTGAAATCCGGCTGCACACACCGTGCAGCAGCTCAGCTCCGCCTCCACCCCGCAGCTCCGCTGGTGGTGTGCACCTGAGGCCTGGGTGGAGTGAATGTGATGTCCACCTAGTGTGTCTGGGCCATGTGGCCAAGAGGGGAGGAGCAGCTAGCCTTCAGGACAACTTTGTCACAGATGCCATACTGAGGTGTGTGACTGGAGACTATCACAGAAGACCAGCCTATGAATTCCTTGGTGTGTAAACTAGAACAGTCTCTTTGAAAAGGAAAAGAAGAAACGGCTGTGAAGAGCACTTGCTGGACGTACAGAGGACCCAACTTCAACTCCCAGCACCCAGAGGACAGCTCAGAATCACTGCTAACTCCAGCTTTAGGGAACTGATGCCCTCTTCAGGGATCACACACAGAGGAAAACATCCACACATAAAAATAATGTAGCTTTAAAAAACAAAAGGGCTGGAGAAATGGCTCCACGGGCATGAGCACCTGCTGTGCTTCCGGAGAATCTCAACTCCAGCAGCCATGTGGGGTGACTCACAGCTGTGTAGCATGTGACAAGTGCATGCGCATGTGTGTGCATGCATACAAACACACACACACACACACACACACACACTGGCATTCTAGAAGCTGGGGGGTTAGTTTATGGAAACAGCATGTCATAGCCCTCAAGGCCCCTCAACGTAATTTCTTTGCAGCTCTCCACAGCGGTCTGGATCCTTGCTTGAAACATCTTACCAAATCCAACAAACAAATGAACAAGCCTGAGTTTCCACAGTGTCCTGAAGGGAAATATGATGGCCAGGAGCCCAGCAAGGGTACAGACCCCGAGAAAGAGGAGGCACAGCGAGGTTAATTACTACTTAGGTATCTGAACTTCTTTTTGTTGGGCAGGTGCTCTCACAGGCAGATTTGCTTTCAGGGAAATAAACAGCAACAGCGGTGTCCAGTTAGAAGGGTGGAGTCAGCTGGGTGGTGGCAAACTGCATCTCTTTCAGGAGTAAATTGCCTCAATAGCTATTTCCCAACTGCCCTCTATGTCCATGACACCCGAAGAGCTGTCAGAGCTGAAAGGTCAGCTGAGGCTCAGGTCTACAGGTCATCACAGAATAAAGCCACATCAGCATGGTAAAGCCGGGAGAGAAAGCGAGGAAACACCCGGAGCCCGATTCCACAACTGGCTCCTGGACATCCAATTCTCAGATACTGTCACCCCAAGGGCTCACAATGCTGGGTATTACTTCTGGACCTGCCTGGCTTACAGTCTCACGAATCACATGCCTCTTCGTGAGAACACAGCAGTCTACAGGTCTGTTCCCAGAAAGCAAAACCACGTGGCTTTGGGAAAAATGGAGCCTCTGTGGAATTGCCTAAAGTGGTCTTTGGGGCCACATACTTCATTTGAAGGTATTAATTATAAACGGTTTGAAAGGAAAGAACATGAGAAATCTAGTGTGACTGCTCATGTTTACAATTCAGGCTACCTGGGAGACTGAGGCAGGAGGATTCTGAGTTCAAAGCCAGCCAAAGACTTGTCTAGGGGTGGGGTTAAACAAATGGAAAGTTTCGTTTTCAAGTGTGCAGTCTAGGTTTGCATGCACTTTCTGGTCACACGCTGTACATACCCCTTGTTCATCCAGCTTGAGCAGCTGCTCTGGGACCTTGGGGGAGTTGGCTGCTTGCCGCAGACACTGAATACTCAGCTCTGGGATAACATACTCCAGGACTTCCTTGAGGGGCAGTCCCCGGGCGGTGCCGTGCCGGGCTGTGGACGGGACAGCATCTTCTAGGATCGCTCCTCTCAGAGTTGTAAGCTGTGGCAATGAGATTCCCATTAGTACTTGTCGCTGGTTAGTCACAAGGGGATCTAACAGTTTATCAAATGGAAGCGAGGCACTCCATCTGAAAACATAAACTGAACATGCCGTTTATCAACAACATCTCTACAGAGGGATGGGATGACATCATAGGAGTTGAGACACACAGAAGAGAGCTAAGAAAGGAGCCGGAGCCTCACCAGACAGCAGAAGCTCTGCAGCCCCGTGGAAAGGCTGCTGAGAAGGGCACAGGTGAGGAAGCCCAGCCCCCTCCTTGCATCTGTGCACTTCTGCTTATCCCTCCCACTCCGTTCCATGTCTTCTGTTTGAAGACTGACCCCACGCTGAACACCCCTGGGGCTGCATGTGGGCAGCTGAGAGGAGGACCACTGAGCGCAGTCTTGTGCTTTGCTCTCTACCTTGGAAGCCTGGTGCAGGTGTTCTGGATGAGAATATAGGCTCATCTATTTGAATGCCTGGTCCCTGGTTGGTGGAACTGTTTGGGAAGGATTAGGAGGTGAGGCCTTGTTAGCCTGGAGGAGGCTTTGAGGTTTCAAAAGCCCAAGCTTTCTGTTAGCCCTCTCTCTGCCTCCTGCTTACAGATCAAGGATGTGAGCTCTCAGCTACTGTTCCAGAGCCAAGCTTGCCTGCTGCCATGGTTCCTACCATGATGATCATGGACTCTAACCCTTGGTAACCATGAGCCCCAGTAAATGCTTTCTTTTATACTGCCATAGTCATGGTGTCTTCACAGAAATAGAAAAGTAAGGAAGACACCTAGGTCACCATTCCAGGCTGTCATGATAGGAAAAGACACTGGCCTGTGGTCCAAGAGATCTTACTGCTTGACCTTGGGAACTGAGTGTCATCCCAAAGACACTTGGCACACACACTAGCCATGCTGTCAACGGATGGAGGGAAGGTGATTAGCGTGACAGTTGGTCTCATCAATTATTTAAATTCAATTACTATCCTAACCTTTAGTCTGCACAGGTCTATCTTCAAAGCTGTCACTCAAGGGAAGGGCTTAGCTCATATGAACATAGTCAGCCTCAGGTCATCAGCATCAGCACCCAGTCAGGCTAGCTCAGCAGGACATCTGCAAACACCAGCTGAGGCACGGTGTCACCATACTTAAAGAAGCAGAATAAAGTAGAAAAGCCTCTTTTTCTGTCTGACCTAAAGTGGTCAGCTGACACATTCTGGAAGATATACCAAACAGGCCACATTCTGATTATGTGCACCAAAGGACCGAGACCTGCTGTGCAGGGACCCTGACTCCTGAGACCTGCTGTGCAGGACCCAGACTCCTGAGATCTGCTGTGCGGGACCCAGACTCTTGAGACCTGCTGTGTGGGGCCCTGACTCCTCAGGGTGGTGGGTGGCTACTGTTTAGCTGCACAGTGTGTGTAATGACCTCGGTCGTTACTCAGTATGAAGCCCACGGGCACACCAAGCTGCTCCCCGACCAAGCTGCTCTCTGACCAAGCTGCTCTCCGTGGTGTGGTCACCGTGGTTATGCCAGCCCCACAGCATGCTGCCTCATCTTTTGCACTTGGTTTTAAACTCATCTATCACTTCTGATGGGAACTGTGTAGATCACATCCGTTCTTATGTCTCAGCCCCAGAATGGTCCACCTTCACCATGCTGTCCTGTCATGCAATGCGGTGAGACTGTGGTCACCTGAGACCCAGGATAGGCTTCCAAGTGTTTACTTAGGATGAAACCATACAATCACCTCCCAGTGTTCTCAGTAGATGACTGACATCAAAACCAGGTTTTCTAAAACTAAGTAGTGTGGCAATGACCAACAGCAGCTTCTTACCTCGCTTGTCCTGAAGGCCACCCTGTAGTTGAACTGCGACCCTTCTTTCTCCCTGGGGTCTTCCACCTTCTCCCTCCGGATGCTGACAGCCACAGGGCCAAGATTTTCATCTATTCCAAAGTAGTTCTGGTGCTCTGTGATTCAAAACAGCAGATTTAGGAGAGAGTGACGCTATAGCAGCAGTCCCAGAACAGTGTCACAGGCTGCACCATGATCCTTCCCACAGCTCAGGTCTTCTGGCTTCGGATCTAGAAAAGCTTACCTAGCTGGTGTCGTCTCACGGGCTACCTCTCTGCTTTCCTACTCTGCTTTTCACTGTCACAGTATGCTGAGGGTCCCACCTCAAAGCTGCTGTTCTGCAGACAGCACCATTAGGAAGATGGGTCAGCATCCTCACACAGTGGAGCGGGGAGGGGCATGGCTCCTCAAGAGTCAGCAAGGAGTCTGCACTGCTCCGCTCCTTATGGAAGGTGACCTTCTCATACTGAATGAGACTCCTGAGGTTACCCAATGAGCCATTCAGACTAGCCAGAGTAATCTTAGCCATCAGTGGAGTGGCAAAGGTCACCATGTCATTAAACTGTCCCTGGTGTCTAAGGAGAAATTTAGAGACAGGAAGCACATGATGGTTTCTGGGCTGTGAAGGTCACTGCTCCTAAAAATCCAGTAACTCCCTCCACCAAGCTGTCAGTTCATCTTTTCTTTCCCATAAATCCCTGGTCCTTGAAAAAACACCTGAGTCATACAACCCCATGGCAGGGATGGACCTTGGGGTGTCCCATCTACCAAGTAGAGGATGTCACAGGACACACTTTCTAATGGACAGTCACCAACCTGCATTCTTCTTTATAATAGTCACATGGCAGGGGACATTTAGCAGTGTGGACATGGGGGAACATTCAAAGAAGCAATCCTCACTCACAGTGTGACCCTCCTCCCAGGGATGGGCACTCCCCGCTCTATGGACAACCCTCTGTACCACAGAACAATGAGGGAGTCACTATGTCTCCTGGGTAGCTTCCATACTGATGCTTCTTCAGAACAGCCCATCTTACCACAGCACAGCAGAGGCAGTTGGGCCTTGCCAAACACAGGAACAATTGCCATGTACCCACTGACACAGGATGAGAGCATGTCCATTGTTAGCAGGCACATCAGACAGCGATTCATGCAGAACAAGGGGTAGATCCTCTGCAGACCACAGCCTGGTCAGTGCTCCAGGGGCTCTATCCTTCAACTCTGATTTTTTCCCTGCCCTTACACAAAACACCACATTTATCCCCTCTGAGTGCTACCTGCTAGGTTTTAGCTACTCTAGCCCAACTCTCAGTTTTTGAGTTTAGGAAGCCTGCAGCTCTGCAAGGGTCCTAGCTGTGGTTTTATGCCCTGAGAACTTCTGGAGAGATCTTAAGTCACCAAAGGGGCAACTGCCTGCTCCACTCCAGCCAACACTGCCCAAATTGGTTCTGAAGTGCAGGCCATTTGTTTTATACTGCTTGGGGACCAGACTAGTGTAACACAGATACTCAGTTGTTCTAGAACCAGGCGGAGCCAGAAACCAAAAGGAGGCTACTTTTGGGGTGAAGGTGGATTAGCTTCAGACTGGAGGAAGCCTGTGTGGTAGCTACAGTATGTGCCTCCGACAGCCAATGTCACCAAACACTCATCAGGTTTGAAGAAGCCGAGCAGCCATTTGTGACTGTGATCAGTAGTTTAAAACCACAGTACGAGGATGTTAACTGTTTACTTCAGTGTGTCTTGTTCTCTTGACATGCGTTAGTGACAAGGGGCCCAGGATACTGCACTAAGCCTGCCTTTATAGCAGACAAGGATCAGTCTAGAGCTTTCTAAGCCGCGGTAACTATACTTCCACATATTTGGTATTTGGTGTGCTACTCTTCTTGGCAATGCTCTGTAGCACTCTGGGATGGTCACTTGTCTTTCTTCAAATTACACACACACACACCTCAAGTTTCTTTGTTTTCTAACAGACTGTTGAAGATTTTAGATGTGAATTCCCCACAGGTCTGTTGTCCTGTAAGGACTACTTGGACAAATGCAGTTGTATACGCAGCCCAAGACAACACTGGCACATAATACTCCACTGAATCAGAAACCTTGTTTTAAAGAACTGGAGAACTCTCAGCTCTGTCATCAAAGATGACAAGGAGCATAGATAGCCTAGTGAGCAGAGGACACAGGAAGGTGCCCTCTCACCACCCTGCGGACCCATGTCCCCGCCACATCTTGCTTCCATTTCTGGCTCTGGCTCTGACTCCCTCACACGCCTGCACTGCTGAATGCAGATGTGGAGGTGATATCTCCACTGCCCACAGGCCCCACGTCTGTGCCTGCAGACCCCACAGGCCCCACGCCTCTGCCTGCAGACCCCACAGGCCCCGCGCCTGTGCCTGCAGACCCCAGAGCAGTTCCGCCTCACGAGTCTTTGCTAGGAACCTCCTGGTGGTGCCTTTAGTTTCAGTAAGGAGTCTGTGGAATGCCTGCATGTGTTTCTAAAGAAATTAAAAATTTCCCCTAGGTTTGAGAACATGCTGTCTAGCTCAGCTCCTATATAGAGCTTGCCCACAGACCATGAAGATGTGAACAGTCTATGCTCTGTCCCCTCCCCCACTTACCCAGAGGGAACAAAGGCAACTCTTTTAAAGGACATCCTGCATCCCTTTCAGGAAAGATCTGTGTTAATTTTGTTCTGAGAAGCCCTGCCTCTCTGGACAGAGGCTCACAGGCAAGCCCCTCATAGCTGTGTGCATTCAAACCCTGGCCTCCTACAGCCTGGCCTTATTTCTAAACCAACGAACTGATGATTTCCATAAAATTGTTTCAGGAGTGAATCAAGTGAACTCCTTCCCTGGCAGGGTGGAAACCACGAGGAAGCTGTTGATAAGTTGAATGAAAATCCACACATTACATGACTACAATAGAACAGGATTTTAGAAAAGTGGTTAACAAGATTGCAGTGTGGGAATGAGAGCCACAGTATCTTGGTGTTGTATCCTGGCTGCTCCATCGAGAACGGGGGAAAGGAAGACAATGGATTGGGGTGCCCAGGACCCCAGACCAAGGCTGTTTCTAGACTCTGTAGTATCTTAAAAGGGAGATTGATTAACTGGTAAGCTGCCAATGAGTCCAGGGGACTGAAGAGACGGATGAGGGCAGTTTTGCCAGGTAGTTAGTGCCTATGGTAAAGCACAGGGCAAGATCATAGCAGCCACAAGCCCCAGGACCCATGTGAAGCCTGTGACTCCTGTATCCTAAAAAGCAGCTTACAGGTTCTCTGCCTTTCAACAACTGACTCCCTGCCCCCTCACTGCCTGCATAGGGGACCAAGTGCCTGGCATTGTCCCTTGATGCCAGAGTCCCAGATCATCTAGGCAGTTCTTGCTATGAGTTCCTGGACTCAATGGACCGGTTTGCAGCGGTGATGATGGCCGGGGAGAGAGGCTAGCCAGAAAGCATCAACAGTGTCCTATGGGGAGGAACATGTGTCTTAGAACAGTACTCGTGCTAGGTGGCACTCTGCTCACCATAGTGAATTTAACAGTGCCCAACCCCCCTTTAGTCACCAACTGTATAAAATGGGGAGAAGAGGCAGGGCCCTGAAACTCAAAGGAAGGAGTCATCACTGACTCAGCAGAGAGTTCAGGGGAGTCATAAGATACGGCCCTCCCACAACCCTCAGGCCAGCGTCAGTGACACTGGGGTGAGTGTGTGTGGAGCCAGGTGGCAGCTTCACCAGATGGGCTCCCAGCTCATCCCAGCTTCCTTCTGCTCTCCTCATTTCTTAACCATCAAAACAAAGTGCTGCCTTGAATTCTGTATCCGGGTGTGGCAGAGACAAGGGCCTCTTTCAGGAGAGAAGTACACACACATGTGCACACACACACACACACATGCGCACACACACACGCACACACATGCACACATACAAGAATGCAGGGGACCTATGTGGTGTGACAGGCACTGCTCTAAGTCCTTTGCAAGATGTCCCTGAATCATTAGCTCATCTTAAAGATGGAGTTGGGTGGGCTAGGAAGCCACGAGTGCTCTCCACCTGGCCCATCCATAGTCCTAGGTTATCAAGCATGGACTTCCAAGCTGTAGTTACCACAGATGGACACTTCAGCCATGGCAAAGGGGCAGTTCCTGAGTCCCCCAGACACTAAATAGCAACAAGGTGTTGAGGTGGGAGAGAGGGACAGTGCAGGGTTGTTGTTTATCAGACTGGCCACTGAGCTTAGGGTCTTGGCATGGGAGGCAGGTGTTGTGCAAACAGCTCCAGCTCCAACCCAGTATGAAACTCTCTTCTATGGCTCCCAGCATCCTTCATTCTAAGTGCTACAGAAGAAGGCAAGTGCTGGAGAAGAGGGAGCTGGGTGGGAGCTCGGTTAGAAATAATGACGATGTGAACCCAGACAACATGAGGCCTGCCTGGAGCAGATCAGTCTGGGCAGCGCCACTGCCACCACGAGGGAGCTCACGCCACTCTGAAACTCTCCTGCCCCCTGCTCCTTCCAAGTTGCCTCCACCCCTGAAGACAGTCAAATGTGTCCTGTCAGATGCCATATTATACAGGAAGGAGGTGGGGAAGGAGAAAGAAAAGGGGAGACTGAAAGACAGAAAAAAAAAAGTGAGGCAGGGAAGGAGATAGAGGAAAAGGGGGCTTAAAGTTAGCTCTGTCAACTTGACAAAACCTGGATCGCCTGAAAGATGAGTCTGTGGGCACACCTGTGGGGGACTGTCTTCATTATATTAACTGACACAGGAAGATCCACCTTAATTGTGAGTGGGACCACTCTTGGGCTAGGCAAAATGGAGTAGTCACACTGGATACTGGCTCTCATTCATTCCTGTTTTCTGACTGCTTCAAGCTCCTGGTACTTAAGACTTCCCATCCACGATGGATTCTACCTCAAACTGTGAGAGTTAAACCCTTTCTCCCTAAGGTTGCATTTGTCAGAGCATTTCAACATGGCAGCAGGGAAGAAGCTAAGGAGGCAGAGGGAGAGCATGGAGGGAGGGCACAGGAGGGAGAGCACAGGAGGGAGAGCACAGGAGGGAGAGCACAGGAGGGAGAGCACGGAGGGAGAGCACAGGAGGAAGAGCACAGGAGGGAGAGCACAGGAGAGAGAGCATGGAGGGAGAGCACAGGAGGAAGAGCATGGAGGGAGAGCACAGGAGAGAGAGCACAGGAGGGAGAGCATGGAGGGAGAGCACAGGAGGGAGAGCACAGGAGGGAGAGCACAGGAGGGAGAGCATGGAGGAAGAACATGGAGGGAGAGCACAGGAGGGAGAGCACAGGAGGGAGAGCATGGAGGGAGGGCACAGGAGGGAGAGCACAGGAGGAAGAGTATGGAGGAAGAGCATGGAGGGAGAACACGTGCTCACAGCTGTTGGGCCCATCCTCTCTGAAACACACCCCTGGTTAAGAAAGTGTCAAGAGTTGAACCTGCGGTGCTTGCAGAGCCCATCTGGGGTGAAGTTTAGGGCTCTTCCAAGTGGCCTGTGCCACCAAGGAGACCCGCAGCGAAGGGACAATGCAGAGCCAAGGTCATCAGCAGAGCCAGTGAGGGATGGTATTCCTGCTGGGCATGCTAATTGTCAAGCTCATTCCTTCCAGACCTCAGGAGGATGCAGGACTTGTATGGACAGGCCATGCTGCTGGCTGGCTCTGTTTATGGTGGCCAGCTACTCCCTGGTTGACAGCTTCACATCCTTTAGTGACTGTCCTGGGACACATCTCGGCATCAAGAGCCACCTCTGCATGCCAGTGGCACAGACCTTACAAAGCCTATACATCAGACAACCCACAGGACCAAGAGATCCACAAGGAACAAGGAAGATATTATCAACAGGTCCCCTCAGAGACAGGGAAGAGCTCTCAAACGGGACTGGGAAGGCAGCTTTCTGCACAGGCCGGCTCTAGACTCTCCTGGTGCTTCTTGTTTTTAACCACACTGCTGTCCAATTGCTAGTGAGCTTGCAGGAGCACCCGCTCTGCCTTTGCAGTGACTGAGGCGCTGGGGTTAAGCTAGTCTGTACACTTGAACCCTCAGGACTCTGGCCACCAACGTCTGGTCCCTAATGACTCCTGCTGTCAATTTTATCTCAAGTCACACTGCGTCACCGGCAAAGAGCTAAGCCTGAGGAAGCAGGCGTCCCCTCTGCACTGGAGCCCAGCAGCTTTCCTCTGAGGCCACTCCCTCCTCAGGGGCTTACCAGGCTTCTTCCCAGTGAAAAGTCATGGCCTTCCTTCTGGTGCATTCCCTTATTCTGTGGTCTTTACAGAATAGTCTAGAACTCAGCTTTCCAGCTACTTCCTAGGTCCTTGGCCTAGCCCCCAATCAGAGATGAGTCCAAGAGCCTGGGCACTGCTAGCCAGCACAGCTGTATCCCTTTACCATGGACTCAGGGGCATGTCCACACAAGCTACTTCCCAGAGCTGATTATTTCTTTACCAACCTAAATGATCTGAGAGCACTCCTTCCAACGCTCTCCAGTGTCTGTGTCATCAATCAGAGAGGGCAGGGGTCACTGTAGAGAGGGCTTCATAACAAGTGACAGAGGAGCACAGATCAGATTAGAAACCACCTCCTGTGACAGATAAATCCAACAGTGGGGTGCCAACAGTCAGGGTGGCTCCTCACACACACACACACTCTGGATGTGAGCGGCACTTGAGTAGGACCTGCTAAGCTTTTGCACAACAGGACCAGAAAACCTTTCCTCCTGATGCCCCAACTCCAGCACTCAGCTGCCTGGATGGTGAGCCGCTTACAGGCTTGATGTCAGGTATCAGCTTCTAGCTATAGCAACAGTGTTGCGGAGGAAGCCTGTTTCTCTGAGGTCAGTTTTGAAAGCCAAAAGCAACTAACTGTCTTCTTTATTTCCAGAGTTCCACATGTCTATGAGCAGCTCCTACTCCAGGGAGGGCACGGCATGGGGGTGTCAGTCAGGTTCTGAGCTTTCCTGTGACGAGGACTGAACTCAAACAGGAGAGTTGGGAACAGGGAGAGGAACATATTAGTGACAAAGCCTATGTTGCAGATCGTCAGAGAAAAGTGAAGATAATGTATTCTATACTATATGAAAGACGGCCGTAATAACAGCAGAAGGAACTCTAACTGTATCTCTGCCTGTGTGATCCTACTTCAGAACCACACACATCTGGTCAATTCATGAATCCTTTCAGCAGGACTTAGGCATTTCTAGTTGATGAATTAACGAGGCAAGAGCAGAGAATGGTGGGAAACCCACAGAGTTATCCAGTGTAAGGAGCTACACAGAGGACAACCCAGGATGGATGTAACCACAGGACACTTAGTAAGTAAGAGGGGTAAAGTTTAAATGAACTTGATGTCAGAGGGAGGAAGCATGTCCTTGGTGAGAACTGTGAGTCAGCACAGACAGGTGAAGCGGCTCTAACAGGCTGCAGTGGACGACTCCTGACCAAGAACATCCCAAGCCCCAGGCCATGGCCCTGGAACCCCGAGGAAGCTGCTTTAAAGCAGTAAGGCCCACAGTAGTGGCCGAGACTGGGATGACTTCAATGTCTCCTGCAGGCTCTGTAGCTGGCGGTGCTAATTTGGAGGGCCCTAGAAACTTTACAAGTAGAACTTAGCTGGAAAAGCTGAAGTTGTGTTGCTGAAAGTGATACCCAATCCCCAGTCCGTCCGTCTGTCTGTCTGTCTGATCCTTCCTGTCCACTGTGCAATGAAAACATTCTCTGCATGACATGATCCTATGTCCACTCCAGGAACACAGGGACACTTGACTGTGGCCTGGACTCTCTGAAACCATGTCAGAACAAGTCATTCCTCCTCCTAAGCTGCCCCTCAGGTGCTGTGTATTTTGATCACAGTGTGTTGTGCAGGACTATCCTCTGAACCAAACTGCTGCCACGGGTTCAGGGGTGCTTGCTTGCAAAACACTGTCACAGCTGGGCTTTGGGACTACTGATATCTTGTATAAGGAATGTCAGGGAGTGTGAGGGCCCCTTACCTGGATACCCAGCCATCCACCCATCAGCTGTGTGTTGATTCTGCCCTAATTCAGAGAGGGTCAAAGTACAAGGAGGGGCAAGAACTGGGGAAGATGGGAGTTCCCATCTTCCCCATTATCCATTCTGGAGCCATCCATTCTGACAGCAGACCTTTCCACATTGCTGCTATAAGGCCACCTTGCTCACAACCTCTTCCTTATCTACCCTCTGTTAGCAAGTCTAATAGACTTGCTCACTGATTCTCCAGCGTGAATGCTGATAGAATTGTATCTTGGTTTGTCCTTAGGACATTGGGGAGTGTGTGTGTGTGTGTGTGTGTGTGTGTGTGTGTGTGTGTGTGTGTCCCAGGAAGGAATTAAAGTAACACAGCAGTGGAGAAGAGGTCCAGAGCCCCCAGGAAGCCGAGTGCCTACCTTTGCCATAGAAGAACTTGCGGTAGTAGTAGGCCCCGAGGTCAACGTGCTCTATGATGTAGCGCTTGACCTTCTCCCTGTGGATGGGCTGGCTCTCCCGTGGCACCTCCAAGACAGAGACACCTGCATTGGTACAGTGTGAGCTGAGGGATGACTCAAAGGAGCAGCTCTCCCCAGAGCTGAAAGAGGCTGAGTTGGCCCGAGAGAGGGCAATACGTCTGTCGCCCTCACCGCCGGTCTCATTGCGAAAGTATGGACAGCTGAGGACCAGGTCGTTGCTCTTCCCGTCGCCCTCATCAGCGTCGGGGTTCTCCTTGGAATTGAGGTCCTCCTTGCTGCCCAACGGGGACTCGCAGCCTCCAGCGGGGCCTACGGGAGCTGGAGTCTGTGATGCTGCCGAGGCCCCTGTGGTGATGTTCTTTCTCTTCCCCACACTGGCCCTCGTGGCCATGGCTTCATTGATGTTGAAGAGGATACTCTGCACATCGTAATGGGCGAAGCACCTCTGGCAACTCCACGGGCGGATGCCCCGGTCCAGGCGGCCCTCCTCCAGGTCAGAAGTGAACTTGAAGGTCTCGTGCTCGCTCTTGACTGTCCGAAGTTTTCGGAAGAGTGAGGTTTCCACGGACTCTGACTTTAGCCTGCGCTTGAAGGGCTTGTCTCTGTCCCTCCCCATCAAGAGGCCACCGTCCATGTAGTCCAACCCTGAGATGCGGACAAACTCTCCTCTGGAAATCTGGGCTGCAGCGTGGAGGCTGGGGGAGATGGCAGTGTCACAGGGAAAGAAATCAGGGAACCCAAAGGAGCCGGTCACTTTAGGGTCATAACTCTCTATTCGGTACCCTCGGAGCATGGCAAAAGCATTCTCCCCAGACAGACCCTGCCTGTCAATAGAGGAAGTGCTCCCATACTCCCTGTGCAGGGCCGCTCCAGTGTTGGGGTTGACTGCGTGTTGGTCCAGGACGTCCTCCGTATCGATGTCACTGATGGTGATGTCACTGTTGCTCCTCTGCCGTATGGGGTGGAGCCCTCTCTGGGGCGAATGGACAAAGATGTCTCCAATGGTGTACTTTGCCTCCACAAAGTCCAGGTCCAGCTGCTCCTCTTGCTGCCTGTCACCCTGGTCATTTTGGCCATTCTGGATGATGGAGGTGACACTCTCATAGCTGGACTGAGACCGGCTCTCCCATAGCGTCTTGCAAGCCAGGTCCTTGGAACAGTCCTTTTTAGGAGGCCACTCAGACACTCTGGCCCTCACACCCATCTTGGGCACTGCTGGGGTACCATTGGCTGGCCCACCCCCACCTCCCCCGCCCTCACTCGGACCAGAAGTGTTTAAAGTAGCAGGTCCCATGCTGCCATTGATGGCTTTAAATTTCCGAGCAAAATAATCATCAGACTGCATGGTTCTGGAAGGGTCCTTGAATTTGGAGGCAGCTCTGGCAAGCTTGTGCTTCTCTGTCTGTGATGGCCTTGGATCACTCATGTCCACAGAGGGAAGAAGCCGTCATCAGCAACAGCGGTGTAAGCCTCCCTCCATGGTCCTCACACAACACTGTAACAAACACAGACAGGAAGGCTGGCTGCTGTTTTCACCAAGAGCAAACAGCATCCTCAAAGCATGGTTTCTCTGAAGCCACGACGAGTGAACTTTCCGACGGCTGTGGTGACACTGTCCCAGCTTCAGCAGCACTCTTCAACACTTCTGTCCGTTAGCATTCCTTCACCTGAATTGGAAGACAGAGAACAGTCAATTGTGATTGACACAGTTCAGGTCAGTGACAGTCTACAGGCGATTTCTCATCTCTCACCCTTGCCTCTGCTGATACCAACCCTCCCGACACTGTCACAGCTCAGGCGTGCCTGACTATCCTGTTATGCAAGGCTGACTGGAACTCTCACAGAAAAGCAACACCACCACTCACGGAGAAACTTTCATAGGATGCAGGATTCACTGCAAGCACCACACACGGGGTACTGTATGTAAGCACCACACACGGGGTACTGTATGTAAGCACCATACACGGGGTACTGTATATAAGCACCATACACGGGGTACTGTATATAAGCACCACACACGGGGTACTGTATGTAAGCACCACACACGGGGTACTGTATGTAAGAGACGTAAATGTATGGAACAGAAATGTGATCAAATGCATCTTTTTATTTCTCTTTTATTTTACCTTTAACCATACAAAAATGTTGCTAACACTGCATAGCTTCTCAGCTTTGACAGGCTAGGTGACTTAATCATGGACCTGAGAAAGGAACAGCTCTTGTCCCTTCCATAAGTATCCAACGGCAGTTCAGTTGGCCAAGATTAAAAATCTCAATCAGCTAAGCAGTTTGAGAACTTCTGGGCAAGCCCCCGGTGGCCAAGATGAATAGATGGGCTCCTTGAGAAGTGCAGACATTTCCCTAGAGTAGTAGCTGCTTTGTCCCAATACTAAAAAACGCTATCTGTCTGCGCATGGTTTCACGCTATTTACCCCAGAGCCATTACGTAACCGAGGAGATAAGGGATCTCAGGATGTGACAAATGGAGGGAGGGAGAAAATGCAAGGAGATGCACAGATACCCTGACCTGCGTTCCCAGACACAAGGGAATGGAGGCCTCTTCTCAATCACCTAGAATGACTATTTTTAAAAGGATTGTAGACTGCTATGAATTGCTGTTATTTCCTATACAATGTAGCGTCTTATGAAACAGTCCTTGGAAACCAAGTGAGTGACAGCACAAAAGCAAACACTCTGGCCCTCTTCCACTGAATCACATTTGACTCTGTGAACTAGGCTTCTGCAGAACCCATCAGTTCTTTGGATGGCTGCTTTTTACAGACAATAAAAATTTAAACTTAAAAATGTATGCTGGCTAGGGAGCCGCCTCGGTGGGTAAGAGTGCTAACATGACAGCATGAGGACCTGAACTGATGTCCTGAGAAGCCATGTAAAAGCAGTAAAAGCAGGCGTGACTGAAGTATCTGTAGCTTCAACACTGGCAGATGCAAACAGGTGGATCTAGGAGCCCTCCCTGCCATCCCAGCAAAAATGGCAAGCTCTGGGTCAGTAAGAGATCGTGTCTCAAAAACTAAAGAGGAGGGTGGGAAAGGAAGTGAGCTGTTGTACACCTCTGGCCTCTCAAGGGCACTCTCGGGGCACACACCCACATACACATGCCTGAGTGTGCCCCCACACCCTTTCTCTTTAAAGTTTGGTATAAAGCTACATGAATCTCCAACAGGTGATACCAGGAAACTCATCTGTAGGTTCCTAGTGTTCATTTGTAGATCTTCTGTGTAGAGCCTCCTACCCTGGTACCTCATTCTCACACGGGCTTTAAGGTGAGAAGGAAGGCACGAAGGACACATATCCAAAGTATCAATGTTGATGCGAGGATAGGAGAATGCCTGAAGCAGCCATGTGACAAAAATAAAAAACCAATAATGTCCTAGCAAAACATAACTTCTCCAAACTGATGTGGTCCATCAGGGATGGAAAATCCAAACAGATTCGCCAGCATTGAAAAGAACAGAAACTTATTCCTAACAAAGATGTGACAAAACACCTATGAAACGCTAAACGCCTCCCTGATATCTTCTCTGAGATGCCCATCTTCCAATCCCCCTTTCCTCCCCATGTCCTGTGCACACTGAAGGACCAGAACCTAACATGTAGGACACAAAGTGGGGAAATACACAAGACCCCTGCACAGCCCACAAGGAGCCCAACTCCAGCACTGCCAAGCCGAGTCAAACAGGGTCTCTTGGAGAGGCGTGCGGAGTGCTGAGGCTCAGCTAAAGCCATGTCAACCAACACATGTCAGGTATTAGCATCATGCCCAGGACTAGAGAGGACAAGATGTCGGCCAGCGAGACAAGCCATAAAGCTACAGAAGTTAGGGGCTAGTGTTACTTAGAATCTTCCTGGCTGGGCAAGTAGCTGTGTGACAGAACACTGGATGCTGGTGAGGCTCCATGTGCTGTGTGTGTGAGCTCTCTCCCTCGTCCTCTCCCCTCTCTCTGTGCGGCTCTCCGGTGTGGTGTTCTCTCCCATCTCTGTCTTCTGTTCACTCTCACTTTCTATGCTGTGTTTCAACTACATCATACCGAGTACCTTTCGAGTCTTCCAGCCCCCTCACACTTTAGGCTGCTGTCCGAGCTGCTCCCTCTAACTGAAGCACCAGCTGCTGTGCAGAGCTGACCACGTCTCCAGTCTCCTCTCAGGATGTGCATCCCTGCACCAGGTTTCCACGGTGTTGACTACTCTCTCTCTCGTACTTTATAGCAGATTCCTGATTCTCTCTGTATGACTATCCCCTCAAAGCAGCCCCGTGGGCTCAGGGCTACATCATTTTGCTCACCATTTCTTTTGTGGGGATCAGTACAGTTTCTAGTATGTGGTAAATGTACCAAAAATCAATAAATAAACAGAGCGGCAAATCAACAAATAACTAAAGGAATGCATCAGCTGCTAACACTCGATAATAAGAGACTCTACTAAACTGGCTTTAACTGTAAGAGTTCAGGGCTGGGGAGGTAGCGCAGTCGGTAGAGTTTGTGCCTGGTGTGCATGAAGTCCTGGGTTTGATCCCACCCCTGCACACCACTTGACATAGCAGTGCACTCAACCCACTGGGGAAGGAAGGCTGTAGGAGCAAAAGGTCAAGACCACCTCCGATACGTAGGGAATCTGAGGTCAGTCTGAACTACATGAGACTTTGGTTTACTCTAACTTTACAGATATATGTTCCCAAGGTCGATTGGAACCCAGGGCAGGATATTACTGCCACATGCTTTTTCTCAGACCTTTACAATGACTACGAACTTACTACCCAGCATCTATTCCATTCTGTAAAGGGGTCATCCTATCCCACCGAGGTACCAGCCAAATGAGCTGCAGACAGCCCAACTAGTAGACAGCAAAAGGCTGCCACCCTTCACTGTGTCCACATCCCAGGAACTCCCCCTGGCAAGGTGGAGTCCCAGAGAAGCAAGCAATCAACAGTCCCCAGAGCATGTCTGTCATGGGTCTCTGAGCCCTGTGGGCTGTGCAGAACCCTCTTCTGTTAGGTAGCTCCCTGGAAGAAACTCCCAATGCATGCTGTGAACAGTTCCATTACAAAGAAAGATATGTGGAAAACAGGGGACTTGGTATTCCATCCCTCAAGCTTCATGTCAGAGTTAGGAGCCAAAGTCTGAGACAAGAAGCCTCTACAACCTTCTTATGACCAGCCATGTGCTTGCTCACCCATGTGCTTGCTCTTCTTGGCTTGTCGCAAACACTGGCTTTGATAGCATATTGGCAAATTTGGGGGCTAAGATGATAAGCCCTAGCATATTTCCTTACAAAACATGAAAGGCACGGACACATAAAGAAGGTGTGTTATGAAGTATACTCATACTCCGCCCTGCTAGGCGTAGCATAAGGACCAATGTTGTTTTCTTATGTAAATGATAAGTAAATTCATGCTTCCAAGTTCCCAAGCCCAGTCACTGACACTGAAGGAAGGAGGAGACACAGGCCTCCCCAGATTATTAGTTTTCCTTCTCACTCTCATTTTCAATATCAAGAACACCCCACCCCCTATCCTTGCAGCTATTTCCTCCCTCCACCCTTCCCTCTCTCCCTCCCTCTCTCTGGTGTGTGTGTGTGTGTGTGTGTGTGTGTGTGTGTGTGTGTGAGCACTAGCTAGCTTTAAACTCACCAGTGTAGCCAAAGATGGCACTGAATCCCTGGTCTTCATGTCTCTACCAACTACATCCCCAGCTACAATGAGTCTCGCACTGTGTCGGGTCCTATGGTTTCTGCTGTCTATCAAAAGCAAACAACCAGCCCTTTGTGGACATTAGAATAAAAGGAAAAAAGGAAGCTGCGTGGACTCCTGGGCCTGAGCAGGAGACCGACAGTGAGAAGCTAGGGAGGACAATGGAAGACAGTTCAAGGACAAACTCAAGGACTGGGAACCTGAGAAGGATTGGCCCTCAGCTAACACCCAAGGTATTCATCAGAGAAGCACACGACAAAGCTACAGCACCTCGCTGCTTAAGCATTACTGTCAGTAAATAAGATGCATTTCCACGTCTTCCATGAGACATCAGTGAGTCTTAAAGACTAATACTGTGCTTATAATTTAGCCTCTTATGGGGCTGCAGCTGTAGCAAATGGTTGAAACCCACAAAATGCACACATTATGAGTCCCATTCATAGAAGAGAGTGGTTAAAATTATATAGGACATTGATAATATGAGGATAACTATGGGGAAACGCTTATTCTCCACAGCAGAATCCAGTCAGAGCATGTCTGAGGAATGTGCAGAGAAGCAAAGGTACCCCACCCCACTTTGACCCTCCCTGTGTCCAAGAGGACAAGAGCTAGGCTGTGGCATTCTCTGAAATCTATCACCTGAGCCATCCAGATGTTCAGTATGCCTGGCCTGCTATCATAAGAAGCCAAGACCGAATGTTCATCCAACAGCCGTCCATTTCACATCCAGATGTGTAGTGATCTGAGAAACAGATTTTTATAGTGGTTCATCTTCTCTGTCCACCTGACTGGATTTGGAATCACCTAGGAGATACACCTCTGAGCCTGCCCCTGAGGGGATTTTCAGAGAGGTTTAGCTGAGGAGGAAAGATCTCCCTGGAATGTGGGCAGCAGCACCCCATGAGCTGGGTCTTGAACAGAAGAAAACCAAGCATTAGCGCCAGCATTCATGTCTCTCTG